ATCGGTATTTAGATTGGAAGACTGGCGAGACTGGATCTGGCTGGAGAGAGGGGAATCACTGGTTCACAGTGTGAGAATTGATGGGCACGATGAGTGGTGAACCAGTCCCACGTGTTGAGGCGCCAGATGGATTACAGTAGCTACGATGTAGTCCATCTATGTAATAGACCTACATATCAACAAGCGTTTCTATCTTTACAACTCAGCAGCTCGTAGCCTGATGACCTCTTGTCAAGGACAATGCATGGATGGTTTGGAACTTAGAACTTGGAGCCATTACCTCACGCTTATCCAGGTAGGACTTTATTCCTCCCATATATATGCCTCGGCATCTACTCACTTGGCTTCTTCCGCCTTACTATCTACATACGTACTTGGTCTCAAAGTTGTAAGACGCAGGCTTTCATGCAAACCCAATCCACCCTCGGCTTCTGGGAAGTGTCCCTCACTCAGCTGTATCATCGAATTTAAATCACGGCGAGAACATGCAAGTGCCTTAATCACTATGTGGACGTCCTCACATACGTAAATCTGATTTAACCATCTTGTAAGTAATACCAGTATGAACTAGATGACCATGTGCCTCCTACGTCCTACCTCTCATAAAGGTAGACTCACATAGGTATAGTATAACAACTGTGTGGGGACTCTTCGGGTAGCTTTTACTACCTAGTAGTATCATACATACCTAAGATAAATATATGTATGTTCTTGTTTACGGCCTTGTTCCTGAGCTGCACCTAGAGCAGTTATTGTTTATTCTACTGTTACGTCTTCAAATTGGTCGTCTCGGTGTCTTGCGCATACGGATTTTCCCGTCTCAGCTTTCTCTGCTATAATCATGTAGACCATTGCCGTCCTAATACCACAGTTTTACTCGGGATCATATTAATGTAAGTAGGAACACGAAATAGGGCATCTAAGAGTACCTCAGAGAGTGCCTAGTATTGTTGGAACTATGACTTACTACAAGTCCCAAAAATAACTGATTTCTAACCCCCTTTTTTCTTCCTTTTTTTACCTCTCTCTTCCTCAATTCCTAGCATCGCTACTTACATCTATTGTCCTGTCATGCGGTACGAAGAAAGACGGGTGTGAAGAGCTGTTACATCGCGAGCAGTTCACTGCGGGGCGGTGACCTTTTTAGTAAGAGTTGATAGGTGCTCCTTACCTATCTGCAGCTCCGTCCAGTTCAGTCCAATCATCTCATTCGGTCAGTCAGCCAGTCGCTTGTCGTCAGCCACTAATTCGTCACTTCTTCACCATCTGTCTTCCCCCATCAGAGGCCCCGTCCATCCACCCTCTTGTCCCCTGGCTAACCTGCCCTTGTTTTGCCTGTGGTCTCAATCAACTTTACCATATCCTCCCTACACCACAGTACAGTACTCTACCTATATGCGTACAGTATCTATTTGTTGTAGCGTCGTTGGTGGAGCGTTGTTCTATTTGCAGCCCCGGACGAATCCAAATAGTGTGTAAACGTCAATCAATCAATCAGTCGATACACACACTTATTCTCCCCCATTTCCATTTCCATCTCCGCCGCCGCCGCCGCATTCGCACTCGCCGGCGTCCTCTACGCTTTCTGCCAACAGGAACGAATGTCGACCCGACCACCACGAGTGCCACGTACTACCCACAGCTAGCTTTCAGCTCAGCCTCCCGTCAACCAAGAGCCCCCCATCTCCCCGCAGATTGGCGATTGTCCGCCGTTCACGCGAATCTACCGACGACCTTCACCGACAACATTGACCACACTCTCAAACGACGTCACCGGACTATTGATACCCTCGCCCGTCGTCCGCCGCCCGTCCTATACACAGGACTCACAGGACTCACAGGACTTTGGAGACTGCGCCGACCTCGCTAACCTAACGTAAACCACTTGACCGTCGCATTCCCATCGTTTGTCCACCGGCGCACGGCCGCAGACACGGAATAGATGTGACCGGTACTGCGCCGTTGTTGTTGCCGCTTCTAAATCCTCCACCCCGCCATCGTCGTATCCGCATCCCTGGCATCGCCACCTTATGACGACCGTCTCGTGCGACAAAATATGACGGATCGAGTGGCCGCCTTCGTCCGTGTTTCGGGCCCGCCAAACAGTAGTTTCTTGGTCGGATATCCAGGCATCTCCGCGACAGTGGTAAGTGCATTATGGCTATGATAGTCCTTACTTTGTGCCAGATGGCTGTCGCATGGTCTCCCATATGCTGCACTCCCATCCTTTTGAGAGGACCGTAACACTTGAAGCTTACTTTCACTACGTTCCGTGTCTCTATCTCTCCCTCTTTTGTAGACTAGGGGTGGGCTTGCGAGAAACAATCGACTAACATGTTACTTTAGCCACGTATCGAAGGCAAAGTAGAAATTCGGCCACAGCAGGGTATTTCCGCTCCCGTCGCCATCTCCCTTGTTCGAATATGTTTACAACGACGAGAAACCATCCATCCGGCTGCGGAAAACGTGGCCAAGCGCCACCTTGGCACCCCTCGAAGGGAGACGACCGATGTTGTTGGCAAGGAGCTTTTACTATACCGGTGCGCATCCGGTAGGGAGGCAGAGAATGTCATCGCCATGGACTTGCCTTTCGTCTTATTTATACCCTTCGGGCGGGGAGGCGAGGAGACAAATAGGAGGATACCGCCGGCGTCGTTACAGCTTCCTAGCAGGACTGCTGAAACGTACTATGAACTGGTCGTTACGGTACAACAGGGCCAAAGTGTGCAGAATAAGTACGCATTCCCAGTACCCTTGCAACGATATGACACATTATCAACCTTTGGAATGTACAATCGCCCGGAGACTAAGATTGCCACTACCGACAACATTGTCACGCTTGTTATATCACTACCGAGATGGAGTTATGGCCCGACGGATCCAATCACTGTCTATATCAAACTCGCTCCAAATTTGGATTGGATGGCCAAGGCTAGGAAAGTCACAGTAAAGAGTATTACATTAGCTATCGAAGAGGAGATAACGTACAATCCGGAGGGCGACGAACCGACGAAGAAGGTCAACAGGATACAAAAACATGTCCAGAATGTGGGCACAAGGCTATCTGAGAACGGCTACGTAACAAATATGGATGTTATATTTCCGCATAAGGACTTGCGGGATTCGAACGGAGTCGTTCGGAGAGGCCAACCAGCATTTCCTAATTACGAGGTGACATCTTTTACCACGACATCAACTCTATACAAAATAGAATTCTTTCTGAGTATCAAGGTACGTCCGTGGTGGAACAATTTCGAGGGTCTTTCTAGAAACAAGGAATATCTGCTAACGCGATGATCTTAAAGGCAAGCATGACTTCAGCAAGAGACATTACTCTCCGGCAACCCATTGTGATCTGCCCCTTAGATCACCAAGCCTGTAAAGAAGAAATGGATGCCATTGAGCAATCCGCTAAAGACTCTTCATCCGTCGACCAGGCCAATCCGATGTTACCAGCTCGGAATATTGTGTTAGCCAGCGATCCTAATGCCTTGGCGACATTAGGGCTTTGTCTAGTGGGGGGACAGAAGAAACCCCTAATTGAATGAGTAGGAGCCCGGTATGGCAGCCTTGAAGAGATACCAATGAAAAGAAAAAAGCTGTGGTGAAACGACTGGCAGCAATGACCATCTACGGCTCTATAGGTTATGGTGACTGTTATCGGCATGGTTCCGCTAAACACCAAGAACACAGCTTCGCACATATTGTGGCTTTCGAAGATCACCATCTCATACTGACGAAGGAACAAGACTGCATGTCCCAACTATAGCGACTGCCATCGCCCGGGACCGCGTTATACACTCGCAGCCAATACTCAAAGTATGAAAGGCAAACACTTATTGCGCAGACTGTGATACCCACACAAACTCTATATTTCAAGCGATTTAGTCTATGAAGGTCCAGAGCCTTCAGCACAGGCACTAAACGCTAGTGTTGGAAATCTATAACTTGGGCAGACCTGCAGTCTTTGATAGTCACTTGTCACACTTGTGATTACAATGGAAGACAAGATATTGGACCAAAAAACCGACAGGAGCCAAAACAACCCTGCTTTCTTCATCGTCCCGGAGGTATGAGCGGGATACAGCGATTCGACATAGGAGGGCGTTTGGGATTACTGATGGAAGCGAAGCATAGTCTTGTGGGACCAAAGGCGTATCGGTTTTATCAGCGTTTTCAGTCTTCTCGACGAATTAGAGTGGTCCCTTTGACATGCCAAAAATCGCGTGTTTTCCTGGAGCGGTCAACATGCGAATATGTACAGCTTGTTGCTGGCCTGTGTCGGGTTCAGATGGCGTTTTTGGCCAGAGTTATGATGACGGTCTTGTATCTCAAGGCGGTCGAGAACTAGCAGGAGTCCTTTTCAAAGCCCACTGCTGGAGTGTACCTGGAAGGGTAGCAAGGGAAGTGGTTTACCGTAATGCAGGCAATAAGATACCCTAACGACCTAATCTCGGTCGTTGCGCATACAGAAGGACTCTTTCTGCAAAGGCCAGAGACGAACCGGATGACAATTTGAGTTTGATTCGACAATTGTTGTGTCTGGTGAGAAAGAGGATCCTACACCAAATAGGTGAGGCGATACGGTCTGAGGGGATTGGGCGTTGCTTCTGACATTCTCGCAACCTAACCACCTATTCTTAGCTAGCAGTCATAACACTGCCAACACCCCACCTCAGTCGTGTTCATCTTACGGCAATCGGCTCGGAATCATTGCAGAACCGGGGAAAGCGTACCTATCTCTATAATAAAGAGACCCATTTATTGTAGTATTCTGTGTATCCCTATTGTAATGCCTAGATGTATGTGATCAAAGATAAGCAGATAATATGCGTGGAAGCCGAACAAAAAGTTAGAAAGTAAACGCAGATTGGACAGCTATGTTTGCACTCGCAAAAGTCGATATCCCAAAGAACCTACTGCGAGTCGGATATCTCCACACGCCCACCCACCGCGTCGGCTTTCTTAGATCAGTCAAAGCACCTAAATTTCATCCAAATGGGAGTTTGGCCGAGTGGTTAAGGCGCTGTGTTTAGGTCATGAGCTTCTAGCTTATACCGTAAATCCCGCAGTGGGAAACCGCGCAGGTTCGAATCCTGCAGCTCTCATCATCATTAATTTTTGTCTTTTTTGTATTTTTCGGTCGAGAGGTATTAAGTTGCAAGTAAGACCGTTTCTTTTTCTCTCTCTCTCTTTTTTTTTTTCCACTTGCGGTATGGTTGCAACTAGAAGATGACTTAACAGGGTAGAAACTTTTACTTTCTAGATAAATCAATGAGTTCTATAGGCGTTTAAAACCTGTTTTAGATAGGTCATACAACCCACCTGCGTAAGCACGTGGGTTGTGATGATTTTCATAATCAGCGGGGTGTTTAAGATACAGCAAAACCCCACTAAAGCTACAAGAGGCAGGGTCCAACCCCTCGCAGGTACCTGTAGGTACCTAGTCCTCCAGCATCACCAAGAGCTACAAGATCTAAGGTGAGCGAGCTCCTGCTCCTCTAGCGTCGATCCAGCATTTCGAAAATTCTTACCTACCACTCCTCTGCATTATGAGGTAGAAAGCTTTAACGGCGGGTAACCACCTGCTTGATCTCCGGCTACAGTAATTAGGCCAATTACTTCCAGCGCAAAGATGCCGTTCGACGACGAAGACCCGACCCCCACGTCGCTCAATCCCGCCAGCGAGGATGCCCTCCTCGACGCCGAAGACGGCGATCAGGCGCAGGACTTCCGAATGTTCACTTCGCTTCTCGCCGGTCCCGGAAAGAAGAAGTCACAGGCATCTAGCAAAGCCATACGGCGCGGCGAGAAGGACTTCGAGTCGCATGGCACACGCGCGCAGGAATCGGTCCTCGAATCGAGTCGCTCGGCGATGCATGAAGTTCTGAGCTACACTCGCCAACATCAGCCTCGCAACGCCTTGCGCGGGTGGTATTTCCCCGATCGATGGGCCGACATGCCGCCCGACAGCGAGTCCCTTGCCGATGCTGCGTCTAATACACAGTCGTGGGGTCGGGCGACTAAGGGTCGGGATAACGTTCATGGCCTATTCGCAAGGGAGCGGGTTGTCGCGCTCGAGGCGGATAAGAGCACCATGCTGACGTCGATGGGACGTGTTGTTACGACCGCCGAGAAGCTCAGTCCGGGTCGGTTGAAGACTTGGCTGCTGCCAGAGGAAGCCTTGTTCCTAATTGAGAGAGGGACTTTGGATCTATGGTGGCCGGTACGAGGAATCGAAGACATTCTTGCCTCAGATGACGGGCCAGAACCATGGCAGGCCAACTCGGAGAAGCTCGAAGACTATGATCTGGGGATCCCTCTGAGTTTACAAGCTGCATATGCGCTTTTAATTGGGCGGGATGGAGAAAGAGGAAAGATAAGTCTCGAGAAATATCAGGTTTACGCCAATCTCAGGCGTACGGGATATAGAGTCCTACGCGCGACGCCGTTACTACTTAATCCGCCATCATCGCAAACACCGCGGCCGCTTTGGCAATGGCTCATATCACTTCTACGAAACGGGTTCACTTTTCGCTCTGGCTCTACGGGATACGGGCCCCTCGTGAGGCCGGGTCTATATCGCTCATATGAAGCTATCTTCGAGCAATTGGCCCTTGTACAGCGACACAAGCCCGCACCAGTCACAGCGTCCGAGGCGGCCCAACCTCAAGAACCCTTCAAGATTCATTTCCACGTCTGGAAGAGCGCAGCACCATTCATGAAAGCAAAGCCCTTCCGGCCTAATTTTCAGATGGCCGTCATAGATGCGCGCGACTCCAGCATCCCGACTCTCGAGCAACTAGACGCCTTGCTGCTTTCAACACCGTGGGATCCGCCAGAGAATGACGAAAGGAAACAAGGGGCAGGTTTCGTTTATAAGCGTCTCAAGCATGGATGGCGGAACGCCATTCTCGCGATTGTGGATCGTGGATTGATCAGTTATGTGAGGTTTGCCGAGATGGCGTTCGGTGAGGAATTATTATATGGAAATAACGCCACGCGTCCGAGCGCGAAGAGAGGGAGAGGAGCTGGGAGAGGGCGTGGAGGGGGAAGGGGGAGGGGGAGAGGACGAGGAAGGTAAACGTGTTTAGCGCTATTGCGATGCTACTGTGAAGGGGTCACGATAGCCATGTATCAAGTATACAACAATTAGCACAGCGGTATAAGGCCCTTAGCGCTGGGCAGCCTTGATATTATTACACACAGCCTAAGGCAGTGAAAACCTTTATACATTTGTCTCATGCCCGAATGATTGGATGACTGGGGGGACACAAAGACTGGCGTTGTAGAATTTGATGTATAAAGGGAGCATTGCCTGCCTCCCTTGACAAGTCTAAACCGACAACCTCGTCACGTGGTAGCTTCCGTGCTCTCCGTTTGACTCCATCCCTGGCCGGAGCTGGACACACAGCCACTCTGTTACCATATGAAGAAGCAGAATTGAAATTGAAATGCTGACAACTAATAAATATTCAGAGACGTCAACGATACCCGACGTTGCATACTCCCGTGTGATGCTAATGGGTCACTGGGGAATTGACTGAGACAGATTCATCTGACAACATTTGCGGCTGAGCGATGACTAAACTGATACGTGATCCTATTGAACATGTAGATCTACCACAGCTGGATGCCTGACCGAGCTCATTACGACGCTTTGACAATTGCTGAAGTTATCACAAGTGCTGAAAACATGGTTTGAAGAGTGACTCAATATGAGATTAATGTTCTATGAGCGCAATGACCCTTAGATATCAAAAAGACTCTCAGTCCCTTGAAGGGTCAACTGGCCTCTATATACAGGAGTCCTACGGCTTTAAACCTCCTCATAGGAAGATTTAGCCGCGTTTATCAGTCTCTGAATAGCTTTATTTATCCACTATCTGAGACATCCTGCAATTCGGCTTCATGCCTATGATATGATGAATACGAATAAGAAAAGTCATGCAGTTCGCGGGGCCTCACATAGGTGTCCCGTCGGCGCGTAGGCTCGTACAGCAGAAATACCGCTTTAGGGTCGAGTGGCGCTGGAGCTGCAGTTTTTGTAGTTGTTAGAGACTTCACTGGACGAAAGACACGTTAATTACGAGATTCCTTTATTAGTTCGTGGGATTTCGCTATTTGATTCCGGGGCCGGGGGCGTCTAATAAGCAGCGATGCATCTAATTCGAGCAGTTCATCGGCACACTTACATTAAGGCAGCGACGTGGGGTAGAGCCAGTTAGTTCTAACTTCTAGAAGTCTCTCGTCATACGTGTTCGTTATTTGTAGATATCTTGGCGTTCCTGGATATTGACCACATGACGCCGTGAACGCTAACCGGTGGCACGGCGTCCCAGCAAAAAATGACCCATCTGCCATATGCCACAATACATCACCAAAGATTACTGCTTTATAAAAACAAGCAATGGAAAGGAATCCTTTTCTAAAATAAAGCCTTTAAATATCCAGTCAACATGATTCCCTTAATTTTTCTATTTTTCCTAGTTAGCCGGCCGGCGCTTAAAGTAGTAGTATTTTTAGTGTTATATATGGGATGGGTCGTTTCTTGTTGGAACGCTCTGCCCGTGACAGCACAGCAGAATAGGGTCTCGTCACAAAGACCGGCCATTTGTAATCATTGGCCGGTTATTAACCCTTTATAGCTAAGAAGATGTCAAGTCCCTTTCTCGCCAAGCTGGCATGTCTCAAATCAGCTCCGTAGGCAAAAGCAACAAGAAAGCTGTGGTACAACAATAGTAAAAGTGATAGTCGAATAGTTACTTGACGAGGCACGGACGAGTATTCCCAGCTCCGTACTGTATACTTCTATAGGACGCTCATGAACGTACCAGGCTGCTTAGATATATTTGTTGACACGCCTAGTCTAATCCACGAAAGGCCATTCCATGTACATTACGAAATAGGGACCTCCGAAGAGACCTCATCACAGACTGATAAAATTATACTGGAATTAAAGAGAGATATAAGATCACAGTCATTTTCGTGGAGCAGGGATATGCCAATTGGAAAAATAAGGGCAAGCCCCATTGCCAACCCGAACTTTTTGTGCTTAATCCAGATACACCGCCTATTGCTCTAGTTCTATTTGTATGAGCCATCACTACCTAGATAGCCTATTAGACAGTTTATATGCTCTCTTAATTTAGGCTTTGCGACCACAGTGAGTAACCAAAGACTTCGTCAGAGTGCAATTCTCACCTTTGAGGTTCAAACTGGATTGTTCATTTAACTTAAGCCCTCTAAGTGTATTATGTTAGACATCATCGATCTATCTGGGCTATCCACTTCTAGCCCTCCTTATTTCTCGTCGGCAGGGTATATGGCTGAGTAATCGAGCACGAGCATGTTGAAGTGCTAGTAAGCGTGGAGAGTTTTGGAATAAAAAGTAGAAACGAACGTGCTACTACTAGATCGCATGGATTTAGATGTCACGGCTCGATTCCGCACGGATTCCTGACAACCTAGAGAGATGAGTCACTATAAATGGTAACTACATGTATGAAATAGTCGATGTGGTTGGATAAACTCAAGTACGCATACACTGCTGATAATGTAGAGTTCACACCAAGACCATAACTTCAAAAACGTTGAAAGAATTTGTTGACTGTCTCCGTTATCCATATCTTATGCAAGACACCATGACTGGAGCCGTACCAATAGTCCTGTACTTGGATAACATTCTTATCTAATGCTTATATGTTGGTATACTAGGGTGCCAAAAGCCACAGGTTGGCTGGTATTAAACAGTTTTCATAGCAGATATAATTTATGCATGCGTTGCCTTTGATAATATGTTCTTGCAATGGGAATAATTAAAATGCAACGACCTTGTTGGTGACTCAGCTGATTACCACCGGCGCTGGGATTGTTATGGTTCACATCCAAATTAATCCTTACTATATTACTCTTCCTTGATGTTAGATAAGTGACAGCTAACACTTCTCAGGCTCGTGTCAACTACCGATATTGATAAATCTTACGCATTATTTGCCAGGTCACTTCTATATATTTCTCTCATGTAGACTATTACGCTGGGCACTCAAGGTCGACCAAATAGGGGAGGTGGCATCACGCTGCTCACAACGCCACTATAACAATATGC